ATTTCAACAAAATAAACAATCCTTGAATCAAGAAACTAAAGAAACTTCAGAGAAAAGTTTAAAATCTCAAAATAAAAAAAAGAATATAACAATCCAGATAATTTTCTCTAGTGTTTCAGCATTTTAGTATTTCACAGGAAAGACCTTGGAACTTATTTAAAGATCGTCTGTGTATTTGCAAGAATCCGTCGATACGTTAGGTTTCATGATACACGGGCAATGATAGGAATATTCTAAGAAAAAGAAAATAAACCAACACCAGGAATATTGGACTGGGAATAGGTGAGAAAAAAATCAATAACTGATGGAGGAGGAGATTGATACGGTATTGTCACAAAACATCGCGATATTTCTTACACTCCTGCTTAAAAAATTCAAAATGTTTTCACTCCAATCACAGACATTTTTATGTTTCCTGAACTGAATAAATGTTACAGGATTTGGCAAATCTTTGGCTGATTTTGCTTTTTTCTGAATACAATAACCATATATTTCCTGACAGCTGTCGTTTCTACAAAGATGTCTGTGTTCGTTGGCCGCGGCCGATCCCTGGACCAGTGTCTCCAGAGAACCTCCACTGAGTCATGACTCCATTCCTGAGGCTGACTCACCGCCTCTGCTCGATATTAGGTCCAGTAAACACATGTTGTGTGTGTCGCTGCTGCAGGAGCAGTAGCTGTGGCTGTGCACGTGGACCTGGCAGAGGTCAGAGGTCACGGGGGAAACTGAGCCAGCACACACCCCTTGGAATAAATTCCACAGACGTTAGCAGAAGGTAGTCCGACCATGTGACAATTTTAGGATGATTTAACTTTCCAAAGTTTGTGGCCATGAAAACACGACCTGACCGTCGACAGGTCGGATGTGCGTTTCCATGGCCACGGGTGTAAATAATAAAAATAAAAAAAATAAAACGTGGAATGGAAACTGCTTCTGCAAACAAGCAGGAGAACAGGTTGCAATCGCATTTGCACCATCACTTAAAAGTAAAGCACTCACTTTTACAGACGCAAACGCCGACTGCAGCTCAGACGCCGAGGCTCTCTGATAAAAGCCGGTGTACGGTGACACACATCGGTCGATCATCGCTGCTCTAAAACAACAACACACTCAGTGGAGGCAGTAATGTGGCTGTAAGTCTGTCTATAAAGTATGTAAGAGCTCCTAACAGCGCCCCCCGTCTGCCAGACTCTCCACTGACGACAGATCGATGGATCTGTGCAGTGCATTCCTACAGACAGGAAGTAGGACAGTGAAGGCATCACCGGTTCTAAACCTCTGGCTGCTCTCCTTCTGTGACCTCAGTCGTGAATGTCATTTACTGTATGAGGTGATTATCAACAACTGGGGTGCCCAACCACCGGGCCGCAGACCAATTCGAAGGCCGTGGATCATTGGTACAGGGCCATAGAGAAAATTTAAAAAATTTAATTTATATTTAATTTACTTTATGTAACTCATACATGGTATTTGACACAGTACATAACATGAAATGATACTTAAAATGACATGTATCAAATAATATAAATATATATAACATGCAATTTATTTATTTTTTTGTTGTATCACTGAAATCCTGTTAGCTATTAGCAAGTTAGCTCACAGTAAGTTCATCAACTGATCTTCTATCAATTATTCCTTTTAGGGTCTCAGTGAGGCCAGAGCCAATCAACAGAGCAGTTACCAGGTGGAGGCGGGGTCACGACCTGGATGATTCCTCAGTCCATTCACGCTCACATTCACACTAATCTAGAGTGAAACGTTACCTGGTCCTAGCAAGTTTCTGGACTGTAGTAGGAAACCAGAGTACGAGGACAAAACTGAGACAGTTAAACAACATTAGTCACCCCCCACCTTAAAAGACCCCCCCTCAAATAACCCCCACTCTCTGTGACAGTTAAACAACATTAGTCACCCCCCCCACACCAAAAATACCCCCCCACTCTCTGGGGTTGAACTGATGATGTTTACCATCTCAGATGACACAGCAGTTTTTCAACAATCAGAACGACTGTAATATTTCTATCACAGTCTCTGCTGAGAAAACTGTGGAAAAAGTGACTTTAGACTCCAAACATGGGATGCTGGACCCAAAGTTAGTACGCTGTAGTAACACTGAGGGTCCACATGTGGACCCAAAGATCCAGTGAGTCCTACACAGGGATCTGAACAGTTCTGGGCTGCAGCTGCGTTTCAGAAGAAAAGGCCCCGGAGAGTTGCATCACTGTCATTCCTCCTAACAGAAAAAAAACCTCTGAGTTCCTGCTGCTGGAATTACACAAACATCCAAGTCAGGTCTCAAATCAAACCCACAACCATCTGCCCAGGTGTCCAGTGTCAGGGAGGGGGGTTTGGGGGGTATCTGAGCAGATCGATGGACTTTCTTCTGTTTTGAGACTTGCAAAACAAACGCCCAAAATGTCACTTCACAGAGCAGCACATAGAAAAGTGTGAGTGTGTGTCTGTTGTCAAACTTCCTCTCCAAGTCCTTCAACTACAGACAGGAGGGACACAGACACAGACACAGACATTTCTTCTTATGTTCGACCATGACTCAGACCAGTCCGGTCCGGTCCAGACCCGGCTGCTTTGAGTTCAGTCAAAGTTCACAACATGCACAACAGCAAACATTAGCAACATCGGCAATCAGTTGCCCATCGGTCTCACCGAGGTGGATCCAGAGGACGATGCGATGTAGACTTTGATGACCATGGTGGATCCCTGATGCTGACGAGTCCGGTACGGCAGCGGTTCGGTTTCCTGCGCCTGCTCCGTGGAGACTCTTTGTAGGGAGGATTGTTGGTCACCGAGACGAACAAACAACAACAACAGCAGCAGCAGCAACACTAACAACAAAGAACTTCACGGTTCTGGTTTGTTCTGGTCTCTGTGTGTGTGTGTGTGTGTGTCTGCTGAGAGCGACGCAGACTCTGCGTAAATGCTCGCGTTCTCGGCGCTGGATGGAGCTTGGTATTTTCCTCCTCCACCTCCCCGCCCTTTCTAATCTGTGTAGACGAGAGAGAGAGAGAGAGGGAGAGAGAGAGTATACTTGTACACGCACGCGCACTCGGGCGCTATCGTGACGGTAATATAGTGAATTTTGGCATCGACCTCTTTGTCTGGGGATGCACAGAGAACCGGGTCATTGTTCCGTTAACACTGGAACTGATGCACACGGCCGCAGGAATGAGTGTGTTCCCTGACCCGCAGGCCTCCGTCTGTGTATGTGTGTGTGTGTGTGGGACTGTAATGGCGAGCACAGTGTATGAAAAAAAAAAAATCTGCCATGACTTGTGGACACTCTTCTCTCTCTGCTTCTGTGCAGAAACACTGTGCAAAGCTGCCGTCTGCAGCGGCGGTGGAGGCAGCCGTGTCCATTACACGGGCTCGGTGGGCCCCCTGCAGGCGCGAGTGGCAGGCGCCTCACAAGGCGTCCTGCTTATAACGAATTTAGGAAAGCTGACTGACAAACACAAAAAAAAAAAAATGTCTCGGAGACGAAGAGTGGCCGCCATATTGGACTCACAGACGGTGTGGGTTTAAGTAGAAATCCCTGCTGGCTGCAGCCGTGAGCCCCGGTGCTGTGAGGGGGCAGCCTGCACGAGCACGGCTTCAACACCGGGGCTGGTTAAAGCCGCTGCCGGGCCGGGCCTGCGTTAAGCCGGAATAGGTTTAGCGCTGGGGGGGGCGGGGAGGAAGGGAGGGGGGGGCGACAGTGTGGCTGATTCTCTCACTGTTACTGAGCAGAGGAGAGCGGTGTGTCCTCCTCACAGCGCCTTCTGATCTGCCTGCGTCCTCATTTTCTCCCGTCTCTCTGCCTGCGAAGGGGAAGCCATTCGCGCAGGCAGCAGAACATCACCGGCTCCAAAATTCCAAGTGTTCTGCAGCCCCGAATGGCGTCACCCGATTGGCCAGGTCGCCTATCAATCACGTCGCAAGCCGCACCCCTCCCCCCATTCAACCACTCGCCTCACTGTTCCAGTGTGTTTACTACACTGCCGAGCATAAGGGAGACACTCGTCTTCACATGCACTGAAGCCACTCAGAAAAACACTTTTGGTTGAATTCGTGAGAAAAGCCTACGAGAAGTCAACATGCCCAAGAGAAAGGTACGTATCCTGCGGGTCACACAAGTAGTTTCAGGCGGGAATCGGCTCTCCGTGCAATGCAATTATTGTGAAGACATCCCTTTGAGACATTACTTAATTATAACGCAATGTGCGACCGTTATGAACCGCTGGTAATTTTTTCCCTGTTCGTAAATATTATGTACATTTTTTGTGTGTTGTAATGGATATTTTTGCGACCGCGCACGGCCTTTAAATCGCGTATTTGGCTGCGAGAGCCGCTGTCCTTTGGAGAGTCAGAAGTCTCTCTCTCTCTCTCTCCGTCTCCATGCAGTTAAAGCACAAGCAGCAGCCATGCTTTGCAGCTCTTGTCCGCCTTCGTCGCCGACCCTGCCGAGAACAAACGCTTCGCCTATCGCCGTGTCGCCAGCGAAACCGACCGAAAGTGGCGCCAGAAAATACCACAGTGTCTTCACTTCGCGTTTGGGCCACAACGACGAACATTCGCCGCCGCGTTTCGATAAAAATATATATTTTCTCTCTTTGTTCGCGGTCCCAAATGGCTGTCGTGGCGCGGCTGTGCCGCCAGGTGGCGCCACGCGGCCGTTCAGGAATAGGTCCCTCCTCTTTTCCAAGACTCCCGCGCCAGTGTTCAAATGTGAGCCTCATGAAGTGAGTGAGAGCAGGAGATGGGGGAGTTAGCGGGCCGTGGAGGGACCCGGGGTCCTCAAAACGTGGCTCCAGGAGCCCGCGTGGCTCGGCTCTCACGGCCCGCTGCACGGACCGACCTCTGCTTCCTCCAGCCTGTCCTCCACCTCAGTAAAACCACCTGGTTTTGGCAAAAAATAAAATTTTGGTGCGAAACTGAAAAGACTTCTGATGACGTCACTGGTGATGTCCTAGCAACACGTGGTTGATCCGTCAGCCACTCATTTACTCATAAACACAGAGTAAAGCAGATCAACCCAGTGAGTGAGGGTCAGTCGTCCACGCCGTCTCCTCTGACGTCAGTTTTCACCTCCTGACCGTTTGTTTCTGTTCACAGGGAGCAGAGGCCGGAGAAAAGGAGGAGGTAAGACCGGGACGTCGTGTTTACCTGACGTTCACCTGACGTTCACCTGAGTCACCTTCACATTATTGTTCAGCGTATTTTTTCTGGACGTCACTGACCTGACTTTCTGTTCTGTTTCAGCCCCAGAGGAGATCAGCCAGGTTATTAGCGGTAAACGTGCAACAAACGCCGTCGATAAACACATTCACAACAACAACAATAACAACAACAACAACAACATGAAGCTGATTACCATTAAAAACACAGTCGGCCATTAATGTGATGACATCACTGCACGCAGTTTTTTTTAATACAAAAAAACCAGCAAAAATTAATTTCTATTCATGAACATTCTGACGGTGTTTTCTGAAGATGCCGGTTGTAAAACATTAAATATTTAAACAGTCACTTCCTTTTTAAAAGCTACATTTTTTTAATAGAAATAAGTCACGATTAATTATAGATTAATTACAGTATTAATTGGTCTGTAATGTGCAGACATGACAACAGGAAGTTTTGGTTTTTAACATGAATATCTGGTGTAACGATGGGGTTAGAGATTAAATTAGACTTTGTAGCTTATAATATTTTTAATTATTTTTTTAAAGAGTTTTTTTTATATTATTTTTTAACTGTTTTGATTAACTTAGGGCTAACTTTTTAGGAAACATACGTTAATTTTCTGGTCGTCGTCGACCCGTGTCTTCAGACAAACAACAAGCACGACACTAGCAGAGAGTCACCGGTTCGATTCCCCCTTCACCCGTTCCTTTTCTCTTTTCTTTTCTTTTGGTAGAAACCGGGTCCACCCAAACCGGAACCAAAGGTGAAGAAGGCAGCAAAGGTAAGAGAGTCGACCCTCCTCGGCCGTGATGTCATCACGTCTGCGGTGAAAAAACGGCGTTAGACGCTGGAACTGAGTCGATGTGTGTATGTGTGAGTGAAGTCAGTGTTTTTTTTTTCCCACTGCAGAAAGAAAAGGCTGTGAACGACAAGAAAGAGGACAAGAAGACCAAGAAGGCGAAGGAGAACGCAGAGGCTGAGGCCAACGAGGAGAACCACTCTGAGAATGGAGAGGCCAAGTCCAACGAGGTAGATCGTGGGGTGGGAGGGTGAGAGGGAGGGGAGGGAGGGAGGCAGGTGGATGGGAGGAAATCCTCACCTTGTTCTGTTCCCTACGACTATGTTCTCAACACTCGTCTTCTTGTCTTCGACCACCAGGTGGAGGCTGCCCCCGAGGAGGCCAAGGAGGAGGCCAAGTCCGAGTAGCACCACTGCCCAAGCTCCCTCCTCTACGACCTCCCCTCTCCGTCTCCGTCTCCCACCTTAAACCTACACTCAGCCAGCCAGCCGCCCTCCCCCCTTTCTCCCCTCTCCCTCCCCCAAGTCTCTCACACGGTTTCCCTTCAAGGCGTATTGTTAACAGAGGAATATTTTTATCAATGATTTTATAAGTATCCGTACAGATTTTTAGCACAAAAAAGCAAAGCTGAATATGGAGCGCCTTGCAGTGGTCATATCAAGTGTCTGCAAGCAGAGTGAACACACTAAAATCTTTTTTAAATGGCATTTCATGGTCGTGAAAGGCTCGTCCGGTGTAGAAAGCGTGTCCCTGCTGCATTTGAATTTGTTGTGATTTGTTGTGTATTCCTGTGTTTTTTCGCCGTGCCCCTGCTCTCCCCGCCGCTCCCCCGTCTCCTCCCCCTCCTCCTCCTCCTCCGCAGGTTAGACCTCCCTCCCCGTCGTACGGTTCAGCCTCTATCCATGTTTTATTAACGATTTAGCCATGTTATTGTGGGTTGATTCTTTTAGACCTGTAAATGTGCAGTGAGTTCCCTTTGCTTCTGTCTCATGGTCCTGTTTTTGTTTTTTTTTTGGTTTTTGTTTTTTTTCATTGAAACTGTGCTTTAAAAAGTGTGTTGAAGAGTGTTGTCCATAAGAAAGAGGAAGATGAACATGTAAAACATTCCGGGAACAGTGATTGCCTGTCTTCTGACGACCCTGCGTGTAAAACAGCCGCGGCTCCATCCTCGCTGTCATGTCAGCTTTTCTAAACACTCTGTTTTTTTTAAAATGACTGAATTTGGAAACTCTTCTCTGACTAATGCAGGTGTCTGGTCCCTCTCTTATGTTCTGAAATTCTCTTAATAAAAACAAGTCCTGGGAATTTTCCTCGAACGCTTGTCACGACTGCCTTTCTTCAACGCTCTCTCTCATTGGACAGATCCTGAGGTTGTGGGTGTGAAGCCGACGACCCTGAGTCGAGTTGTTCATCCTTAACTCTCAGGCTAAAGCTAAGCTAACAGTGGAGTTCAGTGAGACACGAGTCCGACTGTGACTGATGGCATGAACTTTTCCCACACTAAACATGAACTTGGCTGCAAATTCTGTGTATCTGTGTATTTTTTTTGCCACAAATTCATCTGCTTTTTCAAAAAAGAAAACTGAGCAAATTGTCAAACTCAGACTCAGAGTCCTGATTTTTGATAAAGTCTTGGAGGCCCAGGTCCAGTCCACTGTACCAGACTCTTCAACTGTGTGGTGACTCCCACCGATTTCCTCCATGTTTCTGTTAAATCTGCATTAAGTCGAAGGGTCGGAGGGTCGATCCCACGACATGTCTAGAAGTCGATCTTCTAGACATGTCTTCATGAAGGACTGGCTTTACATTTTCATACTTGGCTACTTGAGAAATCAGGCTTCAGTGCTGTGTCTAAGGCTGACTATTTATTGGTCTGTGTGATTTAAAATACACACCAGGGGGCGTTTTGTACAGAAATTGATTATTTTGACATTAAAACTCGAGCAAAATACATAAGAAGAGTAAAGTCAACACAGAATGAAGTCGTCTTCAGTGAGCTGTGTCTCCATCACTGTTGCCTTCAGTCCCAGTCTGGCTCTGCTGTGGACCATTTCTACAGAATTTTTTTTTTTTGTGGACAAACATTGAGTCTCTGTTCTGCTCTGCCATAATTCAATTATCTCCAGACCATCTGCTCCACACCGTGCATTAGAAAACGTTGTGGTTCAAATTCCACAAAGGATCACTGCCTTTATTTCCACAGCTGGAGGCGCTATTTTTGTGTTAGTCTTTTGTTGTTGTTTTATTTGTTTTGTTTTTTTTCTCCCTTTCCTTCGCTTTTTCTGAGCGGCAGCCGCGGGTCCTCTGACCGGCATTGTCATGGCCGAGCGGCGGGCTCCATTTTGTCGTGATTTTTATTGAACACGCAACGATATTGCATCATTCGTCCACTAGATGGCAGCATTGCCTCGTGCTTTCTTGGTTGCAACAACACGAGCATTTTAATGTTCGAATTCCTTATGGTATAAATATTATAAACAACTTTGGTTTATTTTGGGTTTATTGAGATCATTTAGACGGTATAATAAAAATTATAATTAAATCACAGATGTCTCTGCAGGCAGCCATGGCTCTGGTGCAAACTTTAACACTGAAAGAGAAATTTTCTTAAATTATTTTCCCACTAAATATAATTCATCAAGAGTCATAAAAAGTCTAAATAAAAGTTAAAGTTTATAATACTGGGTAAATGTCACAGAAGTATAACAAAAAATATATGAAAGAAGTGCCTTACAGCAAGAAGGGTCCCTGGTTCAAGGCAGGCCTCACGTGCTATCATGATAAAAAAAGTAAATAAAATAAATATTATAATAAAATATTATTATAATATTTATTTTATATTATAATAAAATATTTATTAAGTAAAAATCGACACATTTAAGTATTTCGCGATCAAATACAGAGCAGAAATCCCAGTTGAAGCAGTGGAGAACTGTGGCCAATACAAACTGGGTCACGTGACATGTGCCGGTTTCTGTCAGCAGGGTAGGCAGGCAGTACTCCGCCTCACCTCAAGCGGTCTTACGTGAACTGACAGGCGGTTTTTATGCTCTGTCTGAACCGACTGACTATGGATTGTGTTTCCAGACGGAAACATTTCTCAAAACTGGACTTCCGGTCCAAACGGAAGGAGATACGTGACGGAAGACCAACGTCGGAGCTAAAAAGTTAGCTTCAAACTACGGGACAGAAGAGTCGTTCTTTTTTAAACGGAGTGGTCCAAACTAAAAAGACTGTCTGTGTGTCTGTCCTGTCAGAAACCACCATTACTTTCTTTCCTTGACTTACATTGTCATCGTGTGATAACGTCGGGACTAACTCGGGATACTGTGACCTGAAACATTAGCAAAGAAGCCTCAGCAGACGAGAGCAACGGAGACTAAACGTTAGCAACCACAATGCTATGATGAGGGACACAACCATGGACTTCATCTATAAGTAAAGGTAAGGCAAACAAAGTTTTTTGTGACGAAGAACATTAAGAACTGTAGTAAAGTGTGAATATTAACTGTCAGTTTTGTATATTTTTTTTTCATGGAATTATATACACTGAAAATGAATGAATGAAATTAATTTGAGTTTAAAAAATAATTCTAAAGTTTTGGTGTGTTTGTGTGTAAGTGTGTGCAGGCTGTGTGTGTGTTTTGGGGTAATTGGAGGACAGTTTAAAAAAACCCTGTTGGCCACGTACAACATACAGTAGTACGAAGGAAAACTACTTGAGTAGTTAGTGTATTACTCAGTATTCAATCTATTTTCTGTTGCCACCCTTTCTCAACACACTCTCTACACCCCCCCCCCTTCCCCCCCCACGGGCTTTCATCGGTCTGTTCACTTCAGTGTTTAATCTTGGATGTCATCATCAGGAGGACACGCCGTCTCTCCTCTTCACTCTGTTTTCTTTTCCTCAGAGCAGCTAAAACATCGAACATCGTCAACAACAAACCTTTGAAATGTGAAAAACCTGTTATTGATTTGGTGGAACGTTTCAGATGAAGGCGGCGGCCTCTGTCTTTTATCAGTGTTTTTCTCTGTGTCTTCATCACCTTCACTGGTCACTGCCAGTGGGAGGTAGTAACGACTTACATTTACGCAGTTACATTTACTTGAGTAAGTTTTTCCAAATGAAATATTTCTAGGGGTAGTTTTAAATCAATATACTTTAATTATTTTATGCATTACTGTGTTACTCAGTACTTGAGTGGTTTTTTCACCAAGTACTTTTTTTACTCTTACTATAGTGATTATTTGGATGACTACTTTTTACTTCTACTTGAGTAATATTATTCTGAAGTAACAGTACTTTAACTTGAGTACATTTTTTTGGCTACTCTACCCACCTGTGGTCACTGCAGTCGTCAGGTCTCCAGTGACCGGCTTTCTGACTCCGAGGGCTACGACACAGAGTCAGAAAAACAAACAAACAAACAACTCATTCCTCCAACATCACTCATGTTTCCTCCACAAACATGGCCGCCGGCTCCACCTGAACTGAACGTTTGAACGTCTGCTGTACGGCCTGTCTGACCATCTGTCTGCTTCTCTGCCTCTCAGTCTACTCTGACTAATCACAAGAGTTCTGTGTCACAGCCACGCTCACCCCTCCTCCCCCACTCCTCCCTCACCCCCCGTGTCCTCCCTCATCTCTCTGATGGCTCATGATTTGTTGACAAAAATAGACTAAATTTTTCCCTTTTTAAACATGCACA